GAGTCATTATCTTTTAATCATTAATAATTAATTCATTAATAATAATAATTTTTAATTGTATGCTGGTCTTTGCAATTTCATGTTTCTACATTGAAATTTCTTAATTGGATCGATTCGCGAGCCTCTCACCTGTTTCAGAGCTCGCATGATCTCTCGAGCATCTCCTGGATCCCTCTGCTCTCGTTCGCGGTATTCATCGTGATTTTCAGCGTCGGCTTCGGTCCCATACCGTGGTTGATGGTCGGCGAGTTGTTCACAAACAACGTGAAGAGCGTGGCGAGCGCTGTTACGGCGATGTGCAACTGGACGCTGGCTTTTCTGGTGACAAAGTGCTTCCAGGACATGGTGGATCTCATGGGAATCTCCTCGTCATTTTCCACATTCGGCATGATAAGTTTAATCGGAACCATATTCGTCGCCGCGATGGTGCCGGAAACGAAGGGCAGAAGCGTCGAAGAGATTCAGATCGAGTTGTACGGGACGCAAATTACGATCCCGAGGGAGGAAACAGCGGCGAGGGAAGCATGACGAAACACAACGAAATAATCGCTGAATCGAAGTGCTCAATTGTAGAAATATATATGGTTGTGACTCGTTTGTGCAATCGGGTGTGCATTAATACTTAATCATGCGTTAATACTTAATTAGTCTGAAAGTGCGATTTTAAAAGATTAGATAGAAAGGAATCTCCACGGGATCTCCTTTGATTGACATATTAATTACAGAAAATAGTTTTTACCCTGAGGGTAAATTTCAACGATATATATATATATATATATATATATATATATATATATAAACGATCTATTATTTTTAGATTACTACATCTAAAAAAAATTGTAAATATATGAGACAGAGATTCCTGTTATTCTTACTTCTTTTTAAATTTTCAGTAGTATTGATTTTAATACGTACCGTGTAGAACCCAAGTTCGCGCGTGGTCCGCTGAATTTCCGAGCGCGTGCGAATTGTGAAAAGATCACGGATCTGTTTATACGTACTCACATATTTATTTCCATTCGGTTTCTTTTTTTTTTTTTTACTTATTTATACGATATCACATAATACATGAATCACGCATTTTTTTTTCTTTAAATCGATCGGTCGTCTCGCCGCCCCCGTCGAAGTTAAACAATTGCACAAAGCGATCTGGAAGCGAGGGAGGGTAGGGGTGGAGAGGGTAAATCGCGTAAGTTCCGCGAGGACGAGACGTCGAATCTTACGCGAGAGCGTGTCGAACGTGCGGCGTCGCCTGGCAATATCCGCGCGCAACATTGCTCCATTGTACAATGTAATACATGTGCATTTTCGCATGCGCACGGCGGCGACGACGTGTGGTGGCAAATGTTTGTCGTACAATCGAATACGCGTGGGATAAAAAGAAACGCATGGATCAATGGCATATCGAAGGAGAGAAAGAGAGCGTTGCGATCTCATTCCATGTATGGATTCCGGAGAATCGTTCGAATGGAAAAAAAAGGAAGGAAGAGGAAAGAGAATGGATGAGGGGGGAAGGAGGGGGGGGAGGGGGAGAAACGCCGATTTGTGCGAGCGTGCACGCGAATATCGGTTCATATAGAAGATATAACGACATACTTAGCATGTTGTTGCGTACACATAGATATCGATATATGTACATACATTGGGAGGGTCTGTGTGTATGTGCGTGTGTGCGCGCATCGCTCGTTACGTCTCGTTACGCCTGTCGGATGCTCGTTCTCGATCGGAGATGCGAGGCGCGACCGTCCAACTCGCACTTCCTTTCCCGGCTTGAGAATAATTTCGCGATGATTCTCAAGGTCCGCGCGCGAATCTCCGATATAGCGACGTAGGACGAGTGCGTGTGGCGCGATACGCACAGACGTACGTTGCGGACGATCAGAAGCGAATTAGTCGATCGGTCGAAACCGATCGTCCGCTCGAAACGCGGGAGGGAGGAAGGGACTCGGGGACTAGAAGCTACACGACGTGTAATTCGCTTGCGCGAGCAATCGTATATCGGAACAAATAAATAACATTGCAAAAATGGCTTTGTGTGTGTGTGTGTGTGTGTGTGTGTGTCTGGAAGAACGGAGAGCGGATAACTTTCTCTCGTCGCGAAAACGGTGCACTCTACTACGGGATGACGAAAGAAGGCACACCGAGTTGCGTACATGTTAATACGAAATTAATCGGAGATTCATCATCTCCGGGTCTAATAAACGACCGTTCGTTTTCCGGTGACTTGCGCGGGATATTTACACGTGTATATACTAATACTGTGTACGATATAATTCACCGCGTCTACCGGACCGCAAGAAGACGGTCGTTTGTACGAAGGACAAATCGTGCGAAGCTCCTCGTAGTAGCCCAAAAGTACAAATCGAAGCGAAGCGCCGCGACGATTATCGCGAGGAAGCGCGGATCGCGCGAGATTTCCAGGTCCGCGCGATCCGCGCGAGGAAAATCGGTTTTTTTTTCCCCTCTTCTCCCCCTCTTTTTTTCGGCCTCCTCGCGGATGAAGCGCCGCGTTCCAGGTCCGTCGCGCTGGAATCCAATTCCGAGTAGAACGCGTATCGCAAAGCGCCACCTCGGCACTCGGTTTCCGTCGACCTCGCCCGCAATTACAGCGCAAAGGCAAATCGCACGGCATCCAGCAGCTTGCCTTTTTAAATTTTTTTTTCTCTCTTCTTCTCAATGGTAGATGCCCAGAAAATTGAGGAGACAGAAAAGCGAGGAGAGCAGTCCGCTACTCGACTTTACCCCTCCGCTCGGCTTCGCGTAAACTCGTTACAGCGAGATCACGCGATTCTAGCGAGGAAGCAGATCAAGCGTCACAAATTATTTGCTCATCTCGCTCAAGAAACTACCCGGCTTTTATATCCCTGTTGACCTGGCACGATGCCGCCGTTGTAGCGAGATCACGTAAACAAGCATCAATTTCTTTTTCTTTTCAACGAGAGAGAGAGAGAGAGAGAGAGAGAGTAACAAGACAAGCTAAACAAGTGGTGTCTCACCCGTCTCACTTGTCGTTTGTTACCTGACTGTTATTCGCCTATACAGCTACCGACGTTCGTGCGTTCGCGGCGATAGACGGAGATAGAGTTTCCGGGCGTAATTTTCAGCGTTCACCGAGTGAGGTCTAATTTACGCGAAACGCTGACGCGACGTTTAGTCTAGCAGAAATGGCGAAACTGATTCACGTTGGCACACCAAACGTCGAGGAGGCCGCGGCTCGTCGTCGTCGTCGTCGTCATGACGTGACGGCCGCGCGAGGACGTGTCGGGCGCGGCCCTCGGAGCACCATCGCCGTCATCAGAATGAGAATATCCTCGCTTTGGAGGACCGGGGATTGAAGGTGACGCGCTGCGTGCCAGCTCGGACGTGTCGCTACAATCATCTGGATTCGCTCTGCGAATGGCTCGCCTCCAACGACGGATCCGGATCCGAGTCGTCGATGGAGGTCCCGTGCTGAGCCGTGCGGATCGAATAACTCGGGCTCCGTTCGTTCCTAAACGTGAGAACACACGCGGAATTCGTTCCCGTGAGACAACGGCGATTGTGCGAATGTAATTCTACGGATTTCTTACGAATTTTCCTTTCTTTCGCGCTAATTTGAACTTTAGGATCTATAAAATATTCGAAAAACATCTCTTTCAACTCGATTCAGCCGAAATTGGCTGCTATTTTGGAGTCGAACCACACTGAATTGATCGCGCATTTTACAATCTAGGTGAAAAATACGATCATATAACCAGGCGAAAACATTGATCTCCCTATATAAAACTCGATGATATACATCATCGTTTACGGTACATAAAACATGATGAAATTTAAGGATTTTCTTTTATGTGGACCGTATAAAAAAAACTTTCTTTGCGTTTAGGTTCAACGGATATGGACGGATAATCGGAACAAATAAAAGACTGATACGCTATAAATATATATAGACATACGTGGCAAGATTTTTCCCTAAGCTTAAATCTTAAATTTAAAATTTGTAGACGAGAGACGATAGGTACTTTTAACCTCCTCTTTTACGACGCGCGAAAGCGCGATCGCGTAAAAATAGAATCGCAGAATGCAACGTACTTTGTAATACAAATCGGCAACTTAAAATGCTTCTTTTACGCGGCGCGAGAACGGTGCGACCGCGCAAAAATAAATCGCGCGGTACGCGCCTCGACTTTGTAATACAAATTGTAACACTGACCTCATTGCCAATTGGCTGCCGTCACTGCCGCGTCGCAGGGTGTTGGCGCGCTGTATGCACGAGCACTTGCAGCAGATGATTCTCTTGAAAGCGAAGCGGAAGTCCTTGCTGAAGAGGGCGTAGATGCACGGGTTTATCGCGGAATTGCAGTATCCCAGCCAGAACAGCACGCTAAAGACGGTCGGGTGTATGCAGTTCGGGCAGAACGCGCGCACCAGATACATAGTGAAGAAGGGCAGCCAGCACATGATGAAGCCACCGACGATGATGCCCAGGGTCTTCGCCGCCTTCGTCTCCATGCGAAATCTCTTCACCTGCGTACAGCTTTGTCTCAAGCATCACCGCCGACCGATGTGACATTGCAAATATCTTCGGCTTTGTTAAAATATGAATGCGCGTATCAACGAAACAATATATCTTCTACTTTTAACGAAGTGGAAGGATATTGAATGCGTATCAACAAAACAATATCTTTCACTTCCAATGAAGTGGAGGATATTGACTCTCTTATGATACACGCATTCCTCCGTTTTTAACAAAGAGGATATTTTTATAATTCTCTCATAATATATTTAGTAATTTCATCTCTAAACTCTACAGTCTATACACGATCCAATTTAATTCCGACAAGTGATTCAACATTGACGAGACTACGACTGAGATTGTGAGATTGAAATGAATTTCCGTCGTATGATATATGTCTTACGAAGCTATCGAATGTCGGTCGTCCGTTTTTATGTAATGTTTGAAAAATGAATCCGGGATAGCGAAAGTTCGAAAGCCGTAAAAAAAAAAAAAACAACGAGCCGACGTGAGGGACGCACTTGGGCTTTTATGTTTCTCTTGCCCAGCTTCATCACTCGCGGCTTCTCCTCGTTGCTCGGCGTCATCTCGCGCAGCGACAACTCGTCGCCGGTCACCTGACTCTCGCAGCTGCTCCGCCTGCTCGGTCTTTTGCTGCTGCCGACCCTATTGACACCACCGACCTGAAAGGGGATTTAACAAGTCGGCCTTTACGACTCCGACACACACACACACACACACACATGCGACACACACAAACGACACACACCACGCGTGTCTATATAAAATACAGATTCACTTTCGCGCGAGATTTACGGACGCCGTAAAACGGCCGTTGTTTCATGACGACCGCGAGCAACGTCTACAGTCACACTATTGTCAAAGGTATTGCCATAGAGATCATATTCAGCTGAAATTTCGACGTCCTGCATCTTCTTATTACGAACGAGAGAACAAATAACTGCGGCACAATGCAATTTATGGACTCTTCCAGGGATTGAAATTTAATTATTCACACTTTGATGCAGGCACAAAGACATTCCAGTCCGTTATTTTATCCCGACTGCTTGCAAACCGTTTAGTTTGCGTTTTCGAGAACACGTTCGAAATGAGAAATTCAGTTCGCGCAGCTTGTCTGTAAAAGCAGCGTGATATCTCCAATAAATTACCCACGTCTGTCAAGAATGAGAAACGACAAAACGGGATATGTTTTTATTTCTTATTCCTGAATACATATATATGTATTTATATTTATCGATGTCAGCGATTACGCGCATGACATGGAAGCCCTCAACGAAACGGATACGTGTCCATATCCTGCTTCGTTTTGTCCGTCTGTAAATCCGCGCGATACGGACTCACATGCGGGAGAATAATCACGATCGACGATTTAAAGGGCAAATAAAAGCTCGGAGATCCTCCGGTGAAACAAAACAGCGAGGGAAAAGAGGAAAAAGAGTGAATTTATACGGCTCGATAGCCCCGTCCGATCGAACGAGTGCCTCGGTTTTATTGAACGAAAAAGTGATCCTTGATTCGTTTCATTTTGCAAAATGCCGTCGATTAGCTCGCCAATAAAAAGCGTGTGCACTCGAAATTGCAGCGACAAAATGTCACTGGGAAAATGCGGTGCTGGAGCGTGAAATTTACGCCATGTTCGACATCGTTCTCAACTGTAGAGCTGTAAATTCCATTCTCCCGATCGGACTTGCTATTATAATTAAACAGCAATGAAAAATGTATAAAATGAACCTTCTGTTATAGATTGTATGGAGAAAAAAAAACAACACCGTCTTAAGAAATGAAAAACAAAACAGGTCGGAAAATTAAAAAAGGATCCGTGCATCTCAAGCAGTTATGTAATTGCGTCCTCATATGAACGCGAGTGGGAAACTCGTTAAGATTCAATTTACCTTTAGATGCGTGTTCCGCGAGGTCGGACAGAGCTGCGTCTGCGTCTGCCCGTTGCTGTAATGGACCGAGATTTGCGAGCATCTCGACGGCGTTCTCTCGAGGGTGTTGCACTTGGTGTTGAGCGTCTCGGTGCTGGGATAGGAGACCGAGATCTTGATCTTTTCCCGCTTGACGGAGCTACGGCCGCTCGAGTCCGGGCTCCTCGAGTTGCCGTTGTTGCTGCCGTTGTGGACGCTACCGCGGCCACGGTGTATTCGTAAGGTCAGTCTTTGTTCGTCGAACCTGCATAAGAATGGGAAAATGCGTCGTGTTCTCATAGGCATTCTCTATTATTATGCCTGCCGGCAGCACAATGAAGCTTCCAGAGAAAAAGAGCTTCCTCGCTCTCTCTCTCTCTCTCTTTCTCTCTCTTGCGGAGAAGCTCAACAGCAGACCCGCGAAATGATGAGAGAACAAGGCGTGGAAAAACATATTTGAATGCAGGAAAATTTATTCGCAACGCCATTAAGAGAGAATGATAATAGATTATAATTTGAAGATACGATTTGTCTTATAGCTAACATTAAAAATTTGTCTTGATAGAGTAATTAGTATTCGACAAAATGTGCTCGATTAGGTAAATAAAAAGTCCATTGACGCGAGATAATCGGTATTCGTATATCGATCGCGCAAATGCGACACAAATAAATATATGTGATAAAATCGACTACGGGATTATAAAAGATAAACTCACTATAGCCTAGTAAACGGAAGTTTCGGAACAAAAAAACAACAACTGCGCGCAGAGATTTACCTGGTGCCAAGCATTTTCGAGGCTTTTGTTGTCCGAAAACCTTGATTAATAGCCCTCGTCGTGGAAACTGCGGCGTTGTAGATCCGCCAATAAAAAAATAGCATTACCAGCATCGGTATGTAGAAGGAGCCTAGGGCGCTGCAACACAACAGTTGCGCGATTGCGATTTCCGGTCACGCTGGTGATAATCGCGGTTCCCCGTTTCGCGATAACATATCGGACACTTCTGCGCGTAACCGGCACGTGCGAACCATGCGGTTTAACGCAGATCGGACTGTCGCGAATATAAATTTGTGTGTGTGACTATCGGTTTTAATAACGGACAAGATGATCTAATCGAGAAACACGAGTCATCGGCAAACACTCGAAACGCGTATCAGGCGTTTACGCATTTATTAGCTTATTGATCGGTATTATACGATGCCGTATATAATCAATTTTTGATGTGTGGATAACACGATAGCACAGAAATAAAACTGTTTTTTTTTATCGGTAGTCGTATTTACAATCTATTTCGGATTTAATTTGAGAATTAATGTTATGCTATTGTTATTGTGTTGTAATATTTGTCAAGCTACAAATGTAATCCAATGACCTTTTCAAGCTTATCCATTTCTAGAATGGATGTAAAATATGTCAGGAGTGATTCGTATGAAAAGGAGAATATGCTTCTATCTCATGCAAATATCAATTTAAAAATATCTGCTTCAAAATTAACGGCCTAAATTACATGATTGCTATCTTCAAAATTATCGTGATTTTGTATGTCATACAAATTTTCAGAATTTAATACACGTATTATATGTATATACATGTACAAAAAATTTACTTGTTAAGTTTTGTTGTATATATACATACATAAATTTGCTATATATAAAATAAAATATATGTATAGTGTATACATAGATTTAACACATTTAAATAAAAAATAGAATATCTAAAATAACTTTAATTCTGCTTTCTGATTATTTTTACAGCGTACGTTAAAATATATTAATATATTACGCAGGTAAATTGAATAATATTCTTTTCATTCAGGGAAGACATTAAAAAGGCATTTTCTCGTTACATTCTGCTATTTTTACGGCTGCTATTTCGCCGTAACAACGGAAAGCCAATCGTATGTATAATGCAAAGAGAAAAGTATTCGTGCATAATTTCTCGCTATTGCGGCTCACAATCCAATATGTATGTAATGAGGGACTCCTTGATGGACTCACCTGTAAACGACGTAGCCGGCGTCGTTGGTCAGCTCGCAGGTCCATGGGCACGGCTTCATCGGCACGAGTATAGTAGTGGTGTTGGACGGGCCGTACAGGGGATACGTGTCATTGTACGTGGTATGCGACTGCGGGAACAGAGAAAGCGATTAAAACGCGCGCGGGAGCAAAATCCGGCCGGGGCCGATTGGAAATCGTCCCGAAATAACAGCGCGAAGGCGGATTATCCGCGGTTAGTACGCACCCGTTTGTCCTTCCAGCCCACTAAAGGCGGAAAACAGATAACGAAGCTCGAAACCCAAACGGTGGCCACCAGCAGCCTAGCCCTCTTCGTCGACATAAGCTGGATTTATGAAAACGGGAAAAAAAGATGACAATTAACGAGGAAATGCGCGTCAGGGACGCGATAATTGCGTAGATAAGTTAATGCGATTAGTCGGTATATATAGTGCGTTCCCATTTGAAGAAAAAACTTACGACTACTTCAATTATACGTTCTCTTCATTTTTCGACGCGCACAAGTTTTTATGTTTTTTTTTAAATTATTTTATTATCAACAATTTTTTAAAATATGAAAGATCAATATGTCAGCTCCGAAATTGAGTATCGCAAATAGAGTATTTCGCGAACAGTACAAATATAAAAACACAAATAAAAATTTGAAATTTCAAACAAATAAAAATAAAAAAAAAACCAAAAAATTTGAAATAATTTTAAGACTTTATTATCAGCCGTCTACACAGAACTTCCTTTTAATCTCGCTTCTTTTCGGCGTTGTCTTTTGTTTGCGTAAAGTGTTACGCGGAGTATTTCCGTTGAACGAACGCGAGTTCGAGCCGAGTGGCCAAATTGACGCGTAACGCGCGTCTGATCTTCTTGGGATAATCGTTCTCATGAATGCTGAGTGGTACTTGCCTGAGGATAACTCATTGGTCTGGTCACAGCCAAGTACCTATCCAAGCTGATGGCGCATAAATTCAATATCGATGCCGTGCACATCCAAACGTCGACCGCCAGCCACACGGAGCACCAGAGGTTTCCGTATATCCAGACCTTTTGAGAGAAAGACGTTTTCAAGAGAAATTCACGATCGACATAAAATGTCAGTGGCAAAGAATCTTCCGTCCTTTGGCGAATAATAATAATTATTTAACTTCAAATATGACCAGAATAAAAATTGCAAAATTTTGCAATACGCTTCGCTTCATTCTCTGATGGATGTGTGTGAAAAGCCGAATTGTCAAAATGCCGATATATCGCGCATTAAAGTGAAGCTTATCGCAGTTAGGCAGGCAGGACGATTCATGCGTCTGATTGATAGCGATGCGTATCTCGTTACTGTAGCAAAACCTACGTGTAGCGCGGGCAGATAAGACGCGGGGGCCGGCACGTGTCAATCGTCGGATCAATTCCCATTCAGGTCGGTACGGTGATTCACAATGTAACCACGTACAATGGAATCCCAATGTACTGCGTCCTGCATGCGCACATCTCTCTTTCTCTCTGCGCCCGCGCGATGTTGCACGCACAACGCATCGACATAATGACGAGAGCAATACAATCGCGCGCGCATCTCTACGGGGGGGGGGGGGCTACAAGTTGCTACAACCACCTGTTCAGAATCAGCCAGCGTTACGCGTGTTACCGATATCGGAATTCAGTAATTAACCTTCATTATTTACAATCAGATTACTGTAGCTATATGACTGCGCGGCCGCCGACAAATTGCAACTAAATCGATCCTCCGTTCTTGTTTGCTAATTTTTTTAAATTTACTGATCGCTCGTTCCCTTTTTTCCGCTGTATTCACGATCTAATCGAACAACGGAGATTTCTAAAAATTTCGTTTTCGAACTTCTCGGCTGATAATAATTGCAGTTCTTGAAAGAGGAATGTTGCCACTTTTCGAAAAAGAAGTAATTTTGGTGATTAAATTAAAAAATTGTATACGATAATAAAAAATTTGAAGATATATACGCAAAGGGAAAATTATAAATATGATTATAATATCTTCCGCTTTTCTATATTAAGTAAGTAAATTCTGTCTAACATATTCAGTAAAATCTCGAGTTGCATGTGTGCTATTAATAACTAATGGAAAAACTCTATTAATTATTTGTTATTATGCATGCAGTAGTATATGTAAATATAGCCTCTCTATAGAACCTCGTTTTATCTTCGTTCTCAAACTCGCAGAGCCTGACAGCGCATTATTTAATTAAAGCTAATTTTATCTCATATAATTAGTAGGCGGCATATACAGATACATTCTATTAGCATACTCGTGGCACATTAATTAAACAATATCCCGAGGCGTTTAATTTCGGGAAAATGACACGAGAAAAAATTAAATTAAGCTATAGTATATATTTTGCTCATAAGTCTTACAATCTTTTTTTCTTTTCCGATTGTTTCTGATTGAAATTAATATAAACAATAACTAAATACTAAGAAAATACCTTTAATTTCAGTACTACTTTATTATCTATCTTCATTTTTTATTCAATTGCAAGTTTGTATATTACATTTTCATGCAGCCAATGTTTAATAGAGTTACATCGTTCATTTCTTATTTAGCATCTTTAGTATTGTTGTGTCTTACTGGCGCAGCGATCGATATCTAGTCTGCCGAATGAAGTTATTTAACAATAAGTCATTTTTCTATCAAAATATATAAACCGCAAATATATACTAGGGGAGACCGGGGACAAAAGTAACAGTTGTAACTTCGTGAATATTTTCAAAACTATAATAGGTATATGTATGTGACGGTCAAAAATCATTAGACAGACCGATTGGTTTGTTAGTTCCTTATCGATCCACACGAAACGTGCATGTGTGCAGGAGCAAAAATGCTTTCTTGATTTGTCAAGTAAGTTTTATTATATGCACAAAATCTAAAATATTTTTGTTTTTTAATAGTTGAAGTTATAACATATTATCTTAAAAGGTTTTAGTGATCATTTATGTTGATGATTTGCATATTTTAATTAATTTTCATCTATGTATTTATTTTGAAACTTTACTTAGACGGTTGTAGCGTTATAATTGTTCGGATTTGCTTGGTTTTATTTAAATTTTTTTCACAATGTTATTTGAACTTATTAGAAAGAAAAAGAGCGTTTTTTCGGTTTTATATAGATTTTGTCTTTTTTATTTTATTATAGTTTATTTTATTTTAATAAATAGCTAATTGTTTACCTATTATATAAATAATATAATACAATCGTCCCCCTCTACTGTTACAACCGTCCCTAGGGCTGGGGACAGTTGTAACAGTATTCCTCATAGTGTTTAAACAGTAATAATTTTTTTCTTAGTTACATTACAAGATTGAACACAAGAAAATTTTGTACTTAAATAAATTCTACATCTAAAGATAAAGATTTTTTAAATGTAAATGTTATAATTTAACTGTTCTAAGACTTTAAATTCAAAATGTTACTTTTGTCCCCGGTCTCCCCTATGTGTCTCTATCGCGAGGACGCTCCTTATTACTTATTTTCTTCTCTTTATGCCGAGAAGAAGCTTCTCCGGCGCCACTCGACCAATTTCTCCGGAAGAAAGAAGCAACGAGGAAGAAAGATCTTTCGGAGAATGAGTCGTATCGTGATAAGTGCGCGATGAACTAACTTGCGCTATATCGTGTAAGCTCCACAGCTAAATGGAGTACCGCAGTTCGAGCTAAGTGAGATTCACGCCGCGCACTTCCGCCCTCCATCCGTTGCCCACCGACCCGTTTCCACGTTCCCGGTGAACACGCGTAAACACACGTAATATCGCGGGCACCAGCGGAAATCCAGGCTGGAAGGACCAAAGGGAAAAGCCAACAAACTGTTGCATCCTCCGTGAATCCCACTTAAACCATCGCGCCGGCACGGCTGATTCAGGATAAAATGTACCGCCGTTCCACCGCGCCGTTTCTTCCCGCAATACTTTTTAACTGTATTAGAAAAAAAGTGAGACAAGGCTCAAAGGGACGGGACAACGAGTCCCTGAGAGATACGGAGGAATTACCTCGTCGTGAGAAAAAGATGAGGCGAGAAAGGAACGAGAGTGTTTCGCGATTAACGATGCGATATTCTCGGAAGAAGAAAGGAAATTCTGCCTTGAAAATACTATTTTCTTTACATGTGGCGACTTATTTTTTAATATAAAAAATATATCTTTTTGATCTTGATATTTTTACAAAGATATTTTAGCTATGACTAGAAAATAATAAAAAAAATTTCTAAGAAAAAATCCTTTTTAACCCAAAAATATATTACTCAAATAATAATACTAAACGCAATAATATTGAATAAGAGATGACAAATATTATAACGATTCTATCGAATCGACGAATTACGGTAAAGATTTTAAAGAAGAAGAAAAGAGCTCAATGAAATGACGACCACAACTATGACGTCCAAAGACGCGAAATAAATTATATATTTGTTAAGCACTTCTTAGATTGCAGTTTTTGAATTAAAATTAAAGTAAAATTAAAATCAAAACCAACTTCAAATATTGGAGATATTGCACTTTCGAATATTACGTTTGCGTACGTTTCAGAACATTTTAGTAACATTTTTCGTAAACAATGTGCACTCCATCCACCGTAAAATACACCTCGTCTGTGTGACAACAAGCGGATATTGCGTGAGACAGAATTCGGCGCTTTGTCCAAACTATAAGGGTAAATCGATGCTGTCGAAAACCGTGCGTTAGTGAGCGTCCAATGGATGAAATTTCGCTGGCAGGCAACTCGTCATATCGATACGTCATAATGCCGTTGCGATTGATGCCATTGTGCCCGGCCGCCGTATGAAAAATGTACTATTGATTGCGACAAAGTGAATGCCGTCGATTCAAGATGCAACTCTGACAGAGTAATATGAAGCGCAAAGCGTGATGCGCTGCTTTAATAAAGCGCGATCGAAATTTTGTTATGATAAATGATTTTTATCGAACGCATTCTTTTTGTTAGTAATTCTATTTTTATAATAATTATTAGAAAAATATATTTTATTGTTAATAACATCTATTTTTCTAAAAATATATTTTATTGTTAATTATGCTCTTTTTAAAATAATTATTTAAAAAATAATAGAATTTTTAAAAGAAAATATAATATTTCCTAACAAGTGGAACCCATTTTACTGATGGACAGGAGACATAAAGACAATGATAAAAGTTCATATAAATGTGCATTTGGCTTTATTTACCGAGTTATAGTTATATACTTGTTCCAATAATATTAAGCTGCTTACCTTTATAAGAAATGCTAAAAAAATAATCACTTCAGCCTGAACGCAAGCAATTTTTTGAATGAACGATTTTCTTACAAATGAATAAGTAGTGTAGGGCCTATTGGCTGGCTTGCGCGTTCCTCAGACTTAAATCCATTAAATTTTTATTTGTAGGGGCACTTGAAAATAATTATTTATTCCCATTGCAAGAGCATTAAAATACTTCGGTAACGTATATATAAAAAGGTTGCCAACAAATTCGACGGATCCAATTAAAAGATTACTTTCAGCACTTCTTAAAAATAACTGGATATTACTAGAATACAAATATAACTATAATTCGGAAACAAAGCCGAATGGGACACATGTTTATATAAACTTTTATCATTGTCATAAATAGTTCTCAATAATGCCTTTGCGAGCCGACACGGATGTTGGTGTGTAATAATTTTTACTGTTACAATATCAAGCCATATACAAACTGTACGCCGCATATACTGTCGGTCTTGAAACACAGTTCTTACATGAGGCCAGAATCCACTGTAACGAAGAAAGAAAAAAATTATTTACAGATTGGGGGGGGGGGAAGATTCTTATAGATGCTTATTAGCATCGAAGATATTAAATTGTTTGACAATTTAATTCGTGACAGTGGGTTCTGGCCTCATGTAAGAACTGTGTTTCAAGACCGACAGTATATGCGGCGTACAGTTTGTATGTGACTTGATATTGTAACAGTAAAAATTATTACACACCAACATCCGTGTCGGCTCGCAAAGACACTATTGAGCTATTTATGATTATTACTTATACGAGCCTCAATTTCTTCAAGTTAAATTTTATCATTGTCTTTGTGTCTCCTGTTCACTGGTGACGTAGATTATACATGTTAAGGAACACTGTATATGATAAAAAGATAAAAATAAATAAAAATGTATGTAATAGCATCGAATCCATCAATCTCAATACTATCTTAATTCTCTCTTTTCACGCACTAAGAGTCATAGACTTTTGCATAATGCATAAGACATAAAGCATAAGAAAATCAACCAATCAGAGTCCTTCATTTCATACTCTAATTAGTTGATTCTCTTATGCCTTACGTTTTATGCGTTATGCAGCGTTATGCAAAAGTCTATGTCTCGACCTTAACATCTATTCATTATTCTATTGCCAATTAACGTATTGAAAAAAAGATCTCACCTTATAGACTTCCCAGGTCGCGCTGAACGGCAGGACGGCGACGCCGACCATCAAATCGGCGACCGCCAGGCTCACGATGAACATATTCGTCACGTTTCTCAGCTTGCTGGTACAATAGACGGCCAGAATGACCAGGACGTTACCTATCACTACCATGACATCGACGATCGCCAAGACGATTAGGGTAATCACGTTCCACAGGCTTGACCACTCGACGCCGTCGTACAAAGCAGCGCATGCGGTGGCGTTCAGGTCTCGCATTTTAATTAACTCTCGCGGTCCTCGGGTGCGCCCATGCGATCCTGTCGAAGGACTCCAGAGGATATCGGGCACGGTGACGACGACGGGAGACGCGAGCTCGGTGGGACGCGCGAGGCATCTCCGGGCCGTCGTGACGGGATCGGATGTTCCTCCGCGCTAACACTTAAATTTAACAGTACTTGGGACTTCGGATTACTTCACTACAATCACTATGAACTTTGCAGGTCTTTTTTTTTTGGTTCACAAAACACCACAATAGTCCTCTCGCACTACCAGAAATAACAGCCGAAGACTTCTGACTGGGCCGATCGATTCACTCGACAGGCGAGGGACTAGAACTTGAGGAAGCTCGATGTTTACCGTGGTCCTTGAACCCGAGGGCAACCCCACGCTTTCTTCGTGTATTAATCTATCGACTAGTTAAGTTTGATTACTTAATTAATTATTTCTCAGTTAATTTATATCTTACGCAAGTGTCGCCAAGGCGTTATGCAACTTAATTTATATTACGCCATGTAATTTCGCGATCAAATAATCTTGACGTTACACAGGACATGAAGACAGGAATTGCAGCTCTGAATTATTCTCAAGACTGTTACAGAACTTCCTTATAACAAAAAAAAAAAAAAAAAACGACGGTCAAATTTACCGGACAAATTCTTTTACACCTGCATCGATCAACGTAGCGTTGATTGTGATAACGCGATCCTTTTTCCTCTTTCTCGTTTATCGGAAATTATTTATAATTTTTCGTCCAACGCGGCCGTTAATTGAAGTCCAGTTTCCCTGCGGATTTCCGTCAATATTCCCACGATTACGGTCGGATGAGTTCATTAATGCGCACGTCATGTACGCGCTCGCCCGATACACTTGATCATACACACTGCCCGGTAGTCAATCCGGCGCTTTAGTTTCGCGGTGTTGCAAACGGGATCGCACAAAACGTTATCCCCGGATAATCGATAGCACCCGCGCGCACACACAGTCGCTCGCAGTCAACTCGCACCTCGGATGTTGTCTAACGTTACGCGGCCTTTAAACGACGTTGTTTCGGCGCGGCCTTCGACGATATCAAATTTAGCCGAGCTATACGATCGAGTTTGTGTTTCGAATGTCTGCGGCTCACCTGTCGCCACCGTTTCCATTTCTCCTATCCGTCGCGAATTTCGAGTGCACCGATCTACCGCCGGTCGGTCGCTCGCGCCTCTATTCGTGATTTCATCTCGAATTTCCTCGATCTTCTCGAGATCTTTAATTACCATTCTCGTTCGGAATTCTCGGCTATCTCTCTCTCTCTCTCTCTCTCTCTCTCTCTCTCTCTCTCTCTCTCGTCTACGTTTGTACTGTATATGTCGATACCGTTTGATCGAATGAAACGCGAGTGTACGAATGTGATACTATACAGCACTTGTATAAGTATCTCGCGGCAACGTGGTTTCGCTGACGCAACGCGCGCAAAAGGTCTTGCCGGGGCCTTGACGAGAAGCGTTTCGACAAAATCGCCCTAATCGTCTGTCATCGAGTATATTGTCATACGATCCACGTGCCGTCGATCCATTAGCGTTTCCCTAAAAAAAGACGGCGGATGGGGAAACGTGTTGTAACTGACATTTCCTGACGACGCGCTGACACTGCTCGCTTGATCGTCGGTTTCCCTTCTTCGATCCGTCCTCACAGCACATGCCTCTTCTCTTTCTCTCTCTTTCTCTCTTTTTCCCCCCTTCGCCGCGGATATATCGAAACCTGCAGCAGCCTGCAACCTCTCCTCCGGAGGCCGCTTTAGCCACGCTATACTGCATCGACTGCACTTTTCACCTCCCCCGCACAAGCCACCCACGACGATCACGTATATATACCTACCCTCGCCGGTAACCCACCGACCCCTCTACCACCGTCTTCGGCCTCACCTACTCGCGAGGGGGTGGGTGCTCCTCCTCCCGTTACCAAATCGAATCCGACGGAAGTTTTCCGTCGCTCGTTCCGCTCGAGAGAGATCGACGTTATCCCGACGGGAATTGAAAACAGCGTCTCGTCGCGCCTCTATTAGGCGCGATCGTCGACTGGCGTACACCGCAAATTCTACTCGGGATCGTACCCCGACCCGTTGAGCGTCCCTTTCCTCGATCTCGCCCCGTTTTTCGATTCCTAGTTCGATAAAAAGCGACCTATAGGCGCTTCCCGGAAGCTGTAGGCGAATCTTCCTGGATATATAAATCGATGACGTATGATTTCGGGAAGCCCTAAAATCGCCCACGTTACTTTCGCTCGCGCAAATATATATACGAACTCTTTCGAGGGGCGCACGGGACTTATCTCGCAATCTATCTCGTTTTCTAGGATTGATTGCGTCACGTTTCTCTCTCAGTACTAATGGATATGACATCAAATTCCGTGCCTTTCCGATTCTAACGAACGTTTTCCGAGTTAGCCGAAGAAAAGCCGAGAGTTCGTAATGTACTCTCGTCGTTAAGTCAATTTCCAGCTCCCACGCTAAAGAAGATACGTTCTTAATGTGTTTGGAAAGGAAAGCTTTGACCTTTGTCTTATTTGAACACGAACGATCGAATGATTCTGCACGAGCAAATTACGATCGCGATCCCTATACACGTGATTTTCACGAAAAATTATTTTTCTCTTAAATTTCGCTCCTCTCTCGACGTTGAGCGATACCGGATCAGCGATTCCTGTTGCTCAATTTGCGGGTGGGAGTACGTTTCCCGCTCGACTCGCGACGACGAATATTTCACGATCTTTCATCGAATGAAAATCCCTATTCCCCAACTGCCGACTTTTTTCGTACCGAGAAAATCTCCATTACGACGAACGCGTATAAAACGGCCGCTCGTTAAGATGAAAAAATCGGATTACTCCCGTCGTTTCATATTTGACGACTTCGGGGATGGCGGGAGAAAGAGAGAGAGAGAAAGAATGAGAGAGAGAGAGAGAGGGAGAGAGAGAGAAAATTATTTCTCTTCTTACCACACTTCCATTAAATTCTCTCAATTCTCACCTCGCTCGCGCGTTTCGTGCTTCACCAGACCTTCGCGCAAGAGATTCTCGTCTATATATCTCGACTTATGTATATCAATTCTTTTCCTTATAATCCGCGACAGAATGTATATGTTCGACAGAACGTATGTCCTTCTGATCACAATCACATTTCGCCTCGTCACATTCGCGACTCGTGTATCGCTTCGCGAATCACGATTCTTCCATTTGTTCCTCGCGCTAGTTCTCTCTAGTCGTCTTCGGGCGATCGTACCTATAGCGCGGCGCGGCGGAATGGAGAAAAAGGAGGCGAGTGAGTCCGAGTGTATACGTGTTTCCCTTAATAAACGGCGCCGTGGGACGCGCGTCCGTGCCCTAAGTCACGAAATCTCGATTCAGAATGCCCTACGCGCGCTCGTCCCTCAGGATTACGTTCCCAAGCGCAATGAATTTACCGTTACGTGGCCGGCCGGAAATTGCAACCTTCTCCTCGGCGCTCTTCCCGTGTGCGCGCGCGCGCGCCGCTCCCTTTCACCGAGCTTTCATTCATCGCGGTGTTACACGCGCGGGGAGGGGGGGGGAGGGGCGGAAAGGGGCAAACCGGGACGGTGGCTGACTTTTCGGCGACTTCCTCATGGGCGTACGAGATCACGTTCTCGCCTCGAGTGGCGAGAATGGCGAATTTTTGGCGCAGTTTCTTCGCGATCTTTCCCCGCCGATCGTTTGTCGACGTGTCGGAAATGCAGGGCACAGCTGCAGAGGGGAGGGAGGGCGAAAGGTCGATCGATGCCGGGGATACTGAAAATTCCCAGAGCGTAGATTCCGCGTAAATCAGTTTCGCTAAACGACTTTGCACGCCTCTCCCCTCCCGGCGATCCTCCGCCCACGTTTTTTTTTTCGGACGTGGGTGTGGGTTGGTTTTATTCGCTGTCAGGGACTCTCTCGATACCTTCGGAGTTGTACCTTCTGCGGTAGTTCCCGCGCGCAAAACAAACTGCAGGCGAAAAAGATTTTATTTCTCCTCTCGCGACGAACGATTTCTACTCTCGAAAGAGAGAAGAGACCGCGGAACTTTGGAACCGTTTGACAGGCTTCGGAATTTCCTTACTTTCCGCGCGCGTTTTTCTTCCCGAGCACACTGTGTGTTTTCCTCTTCCTGCCCCAACAATCTTCACAAACGACGCGTCCTTTCCATACTTGTCGAATGTGAGACGCTCGGATTTTGCTACGAATAATTTTTCACGTTCAGTGACATTTTCTCGCGCGTTTCCTCAACTTCCCTCGTTTCCTCCGCTCTCATCGATTTCCGCTGCGTTATATGTTTTTCTCGAATTCGAACTGAAATACCGATTCTGGAATGGCTCGCCCGAAGATGACTCGCCCCGTCGTTCGCGCTTTCGTAACGCGAGTTCGTGCAAGTGGCGCCGATTGAATCTTTAATTCAACCGTCTGAATTCCCGCTCGGATCTAGCCGAGCTAATCCCGCGTTGTGTCGATCGTTTGAAATTTCACCTCCTTCTTCTCGGGAATCAGGAGGGGGGGGAGGGGCGATATCTTCCTTTTCAATCTCCTTCCTTTTCCTTTACGCAGTCAATTAAGATGTTCAGTGAACCGCCAATTATTTTCCCTCGCACACCTTCCTTCGCGAGAGAGAAAAGGCGCTAAAACGCTACATGAATTTTCAATTATTTCTCCTCGCGGCCTCTCCGCCGGTGCATTCTCGCGGGTTTTCTTTAATTACATCGCTTCTACGCGGGGATCTGATATGCCGAATGAATCTCCAACGATCCCCCCTTGGTTTGGTCGCAATTTATTCCGCGAGTTGCGCAAAACGCCGGATGAATTTTCGATGAGTTTCACCGCGCTACCGTCTTCCGTATTGCAAAAGGTCCGGCTGTAACACTTGCCCTCGGACTATAGGATCTGAATAATGCTACCACTATATGCCATCATTATGATACTTAATAGAAGCACTTTATATAGAAGCGACGATTAAAAAATCACCGACGGGCTTTTAATTAAGCGAATTTTCCCGAAGCACGGATATTCACCCGGTAGATTTTAGCGTCTACCTCGCAATTTCTGGTCTAATTTCGCCGAAATATCTCTCCCTCTCTCGCGTATGCGTCGAAAAATCGAGCGCTTCTCTCCGAAAATTCAGTTTAAATAATCGCAAGAAGAATCGCGTTAATTACGCGCCGGTCTTAAGCGACCGAATTTTCAGCAGCCTTTTTATTTTAATCACCGCGCAGATATATATATATATATATCCTCTGAAACACCGTAGAGTAGAAATCCCGTTTTGACTTCACTTCCGTCCCTCCAATGCGCTGAACCTCAGTCGAATCATCCGCTCGAATTCGTTTCTGCCTTTTCACGTTTCGATTCCCCCGTTTCGGCCCTCTCCTCTTACCCCGATTCTCTATTCTTTAATTGCCCTCCCCTCAATTTTTCTGCGGCTCGATTTTCCATCCTTTCAATCCAAACATTCAAAATGCTCGTTCGATCGCGAGTAATAACTCTTGCCTCTCACCCTTTTCCCTCCTTCCGCTTTCTTTTCTGATAATTCCCCTCGACTGTCTATGCACTTTTTAATTGTTACTCTCCCTCTATTATTATCCCCGCTATCTGTATGTCACAAAGCACCACAAAGTTTCCGCGAAAGCCTTTTCGATTTCATTGAGACGCCAAATAGCTTTATAACGACGACGACGACGACGACGACGACGACAACGACGACGACGATCCCTTTTCGCCGATGCAGCGAAATAATTTATAGCGCGCGCGCGCGCCGGGCCGAGTATTGGACTATCCACGAGTGGCCACTCGAACTACCTCAATGCCCGGGCGATTCCTCCACTTCAGGGTTCGGCAAGCCTCCAAGTAGTCCTTCGTTTTTTTCCACTTGACGCGACCGAAGTTACCGGCGAGTCTCGACCAAATTCTCGCGGAACCGCCCTCGCGAGAGAGGCCTTTCCTAGACTATCTCGATTTCTCGAACAACGACGAAAAGCAGAACAATGTGAGACACCTAATTGGACGTGAGTCCTCGAACGCGATTAATCGCGAACTGGAACGCATCTAGTTTGTTTCCGACGAGCGCATCTCGCGATGGAAGGGGGATCGTGTTTCGTACATACTTTTGTAGCGCGCGCATAAAAGTTACCCGACGACGACGCGGTATACCGGATGCTTCTGCATGTGCGTGCATCTCGCCGGTTTTCCAACGAAGGAAATTCTCGCCCGTCGTTTGTATGCAACCGACGCGGTGCGCCCTACGACGCTAATAAACGCGAACGCGAGGGGGAGAGCGACGCGCGCGCCTCGGCGAAGACGAGAGAGAGAGAGAGCGAGAGAGAGAGACCCCGCTCGTCTTAATTATTCTTCGGGAGATGGGATGGTGGATCTTAAGAAGTTACAGGCGACACTTAGATAGTAATTAATGTTTTACACTAACGATATAATGTTTACCGCTTTTATACGTACGACGATCGATCCGCGATCGTATATATACATATATATATATATATAGTATGATGCCACTTACGTCGCAGAAACGATGACGCAGGCTGCACGGTGATTCCTCTGAAGTCACTGAGCAGTCTACCTTGATCAGTCTTCGCGATTTTCACGCGTCAAGCCTCTGGAGAGTCGGGGCGGGGGGGAGGGGGGCAGGTCTAGGAGTAAAAATCACAGCCAAAGTGAAGTGAAATTACGCTCGTCGATCATTGCCGCGATGGCGATCAGTCTCATGTGCTCTCGTATGCGCGCTTTCTCTTTCCCCCCTTTTTCTTTTTATTCCCGTCGACCTGTCCGCGCGCACCCGAATACTCTCGGGTACGCTAAGTTATCTGCCGGCACCTGGCGCACTGTCTGTATCTGAGCAATCTGAACAGCGCTGCCTTCTTGATCCGTTTCGATCGCATTATTTCGCCCGACGACGGTGATCCTCTCGAAGGTAATGCGCGTAATGCATCCCACGGGCACGCACTTCTCGATGATTTATTCCGCCCTCGCGTTCATTCCGCCCACCGAACAGTAGCGTCTGCAAAAGAAAGCACGAGAAAAATCCCGTTGTTACTGCGGCAGGGGCTGACTATCAATTGACGACGACTGCAATCGACGAGGCAGTTTAATCCCGAGGAGAAACGATGGCAAGACTGCACTTGCAGAAAGATATTCAACTGTTACGCGGCAACGTTTTCTTCGTACTCAACGAGATAAATTCTACCGAAGTAGAAGATTTCTTTTCTCCCTCACGTTCTCCAAGTTAATTTTAATGTTTTCTATAGCAATAAAATAATAATTAAGTAACAATATAATAGAAACAATAATTAAATTTAGTGAAGTGAAGGCCTATAAACAATAATTACTTTCTTCAATTCGGGAATGTCTCGAATCATTTCTATTTTAGAGAATTGATTTTGAAAATTAATCAATAATATCTCTTTTCCTTCTAAAGATGTGGATAACTTTCTTTTTGCCTCATTTTATATACGCAAATAGAAAAGCTTAATTATTGCTTGATATAATTATCACTCCAACATGCAATCGATATGTATATATAATTCTCCGCCAATTATCTTCTACAACTGTTTTTATTCTGCAATCCAATATCACCTAAATTCTAAACATTGTGACTTTCGAATCTGCTGGAATTCTAAATTTGATACCTCTATGCTACCAAACGGATCGGATGTACGAGGAGCGGAACGGTGTGCGCGAAGCCGATAGGGAATTCGGTTCAAAGACTAGATGGAATTGAACGTAGATGAATGGACAAGCCCGGGCGAGCAAAAAGGAAGGCGAGGGATTTGACAACGGTCACTCTAATACGAAATACACTCGTTGGCAGTTCCTAGAAACGAAGGTCATCGATCGATATTTCCGTTCAGCGCCATTACGTGTGTCTCCTCGATTCACGCAATGCAAATGACTTCTCCCTCCCTCTCTCTTTCTCAAATATCGTTGAAACCGCAGGCGTCACAAAAGTGGCAAAAAAGAAATTGATTACACCAACACATTTCATCGATAACGTTTTTAATCGCGAGAATCGCGAACAGTGTAAATTTTCTGGCGACATTTTTAGTTTTACCCACGCGTAATTAAATGCCGACCTTTGCCTTTATTCCTATTTAATAGCACGCATAAAAGCAAAATGTTACCACATTATACACACGCATGCATTTACATATTTTGTGACTCTGCTGGCATATCGCGTAGGTACTTGTCATTTTAACAACATTTTATGACATACAGTAAAATAAAATCTATTTCTTCATATTGAGTACAATATGTCATATCGTAATATACGTCCTTGTCATCGTCCTGCTTATAAATAGGTTACGGAGATAGTCCTGTTTCTTTTTCATTCTTTCTTTAATTGCGATCGGTGTGCACCTGGTGCATCTGAGCGCCCGCTCGATAGGAACGTTTGACGTAATCCATTGGAAATTCTCGAAAGTGGAATTTAACGAGAAAAGTATATATCCTCAATAATTTCAAATGTAACGTCAAATACACATTCATGTACATTGTACAGCTCTTACATACAAATATTTGCGAACTTTTACATCAACATTTTGCAATGTAATAGAGATAATTCTTTTTCTCAATTATTTTTTATTACCAACTGCAGTACGTTCGTATGCCGGATATTTGGCCAGCAGAGTTACAAAAATATTTAAATGTACAAATTTTCGTTCGAACGAAAAGCATTCCTTTATTAGCAGCCCTTGGCATTCTTTTCAGATATATCAAAGAAATGTTGCTCGCGAAAGCTGCACAAGGAAAATTAATTTTCTCGCTGTTAATTCATGACCTTTTCCGATTTCTCGTCCGTAAAATTTGCCTCATCTGAATGCTTTATTATACTTCGATACCTTTAATAATTTCGCTACATCGCACAGTTACACAAATAATTTTATTTCCCATATTTTTTGTGTCCTTAATCTCATAATACGATTTTATTAAAAAATATCAAGTTTCCATGTCTGCTTTCTTCAAACGGCATTTTAACTTGCATTTTATCCTTGCGTTCATATAGCAGTGCCCGTTAATTACGAGTTACAAAGGAACTTTGAGACCGCCATTCGCTCCCTCTATTTCATTATATCTATCGGCATTACAAGACAGTGTCGCGTACAAAGCGTTAAGTGCGCAGCTATTTGCCCTTTTGTTACTCGTGCGCGAGATACACTTTCGCGAGTATATGGCAAAGGGATTACAGACGAGAAATATCAAACGATAGACAGGAGGCAGGAGAGAATGGAAAGAGACGTTCACAACGAGCGTATACGGTGTGTTTGCAGCCGGGCGAAATGGTGAAACACGAAGATATGCCATCGAAACACCGAGGTAGTGCGTGAGTTGCAGTCAGCGCGGAATTTCTGCTTATTAATTAATCTTTAGCTCTTTGTTCTCGTGTAAATACGCGTAAAGGGCGCGTAAATATGCGTAATACATAATTTATTTTCCCTCATCCAATCTTGGGGTTGTAGGCTTCATCTCTGTTCTCTGCACCACGAACACAATCGCGAAATTTCGTTTATATTAAAACTATTATTTATATACCTCATCCTCCGTTGTATTAAATTTCAAAATATGAAAACATTTTAAAATATTAGCAAATAAAGTTTATTTTTTCAATATAAAAAAAATTTATTGTATATTAATATAAATCGTTTTCGCCGTACGGCAAAATATTACATTCATAAAATAACGTTATATATTTTGCGAATAGCAAACGAACAATTCACTCCTACGAGATAATAGTAAACAAAACTCCGTAATTTACACATGCGATATTGCGAAGGAAACATATGTGGATAAATTGCGTTCGAATTTGAGTGGTGCAGGGAGAATATCTACGGGCTACGAGGGGCTTTATAGAGCAGTCGTGTACATGTTCATCGCGTATTCATGCACATCGGCCTGTAAAAAGAACGACCCTTTATGAGAAGACGCGCGCGCAAATGAGGACGGTTATAGGCTGCATGTGCATGGCGCGGCGTGTCTTTGTACGTGGATCTTTTTCCATCCGTTCCTATATTTGCAGAAGTTCAAGGCGTTAAAAAAAAAAAGCGTCTTTCCAACCCGAAACAAAAAGCACAGGAAGAAGGTGGCACATTATGAGGAACTCGATCTGTTGCAATCATACCTGCTTATAATAATTGATAATGCAACTTCTGCTTATGATAATTAATAATCCGCCGCTTTTCCAATACTTATGTATACTTCCAATACTTATGTACTTTCCAATACTTATTCACCAATACTGTGCCGTTGTTTAATGTGCAATTTATTAAAAATCTAAACAGTCGGATCCTATTTATGAAAATGTTAACCATGCGATACACATTTTCAGTCTTCGTAATTATAAATGCACAACAGTTTTACGAAAGACACTATTAACGTATTGACGAGTGATAAAAAAAAATTCGAATGATTCAATTTTCATAATTAAAACTAACTCAAACTGTCCCTAACTCCGTGCAATTTCTCCGAGATTGACTTTTAATCGGCGCGTGACATAACTCCTCATTGGAGTCATGACGGCGCCAAACTAGCGCCGAGACCATTTAACGAGCCCGAAAACTTTAAATTGCTACATCCATCGGCGAAAAGTTCCGGAAACGTTAGCCTGCCGCGCGCCGCCGGGATCTATGCATTCATTTCGACGGCGCATACATAAATTTCCCACCGTATCTTTCCGTAAGATTCGCTTTCTCGATCTGGTATATAAATTCCGCGCGGCTTCGATATTGGGATCGAACGCGTCGGTCGGATCGCCTTCTTTTTCCTTTCGTCCGTAAGTCCGAAGGAAAGTTTGTTCTCCCGAAGGAGCATAAGTCGCGCGAAATTACACTTCGATGATTAATAATGGGAGACAAGCTCGGGAAATCTTGGCGTGCATCGGGGCGCGAAGTACAATAAATGTACGCGGCGAAAATCAATATCGAGGTCAGTGGATGATTGACGCAAATGCTCCTGAAAAAAAATATTTCAAAATACGCCGCATTCTTCGATGCGAAACTAGCATGCATGTATCAATGTACTTTTCGCGAGCGTAGCTACGCTTGAGGGAATTTCCAAGGGCATCTTCGTCAAAAATCAATTTTATAGATTAATGCCAAAATTTACTAATTTTTATATTAATATAATATTTCACGTATATTTATATCGTAAAACAAATGGCTATTATTTGAGAAAAATATTTTTATGACATAAATTAAATCGTTTTTTATTCTCTTTTTTTTTGTTTCGCAAAATATGCATATTGTTCAGCTACTCAGTGGATGGAATATCTTCACTTTATCGTTTTAATCGCAATTTAATTTTTAATATAATCAAATAATTTTTAGGAATAAGTGGAAAAAAATTTGTTTCTTCTTAAAAATTATTTATTCAACACTGCTCAAAAATAATATTGTATAACTGAAATTTAAATTCAGCTAAGTGTAAAGAACTACACGAAAAAATAATTGCTTGATCGAGATATACGGATTATATGTGCAAATATTTTTCTTAACTTAAATGTTGCCGTAAGCATATTGCAGGGAGAACTTTGCAGAGGGTTGCAAAAGACTAAGAGGTCTCTTCAGATTTGCCTTCGACTTGGATTTTGGTACATTACAGAATGGATTCGCTCCCCCAGTGAATGCTGCTTATTTAATTTAAAGCGTACTTTAACTTCGGCGAAATGACGTGAAAGAAAGGATAACGAGGAAAGAGGAACCGATGGTGCCTTGGCGAAAGTTTGTGCATAGCCTAAATTGCGACTAAACGAGAATCTGAGAGGGATTTGCCTCGTCGAACGAAATCGTTAGTGCACGATGTTGCACAACTCCCGCGCCAATACAAACGCAATTAACAAGGTTTCTTGCAGATTCGCAGTAAAATCAATTAATTTATATGACGCAACGTGAAAGCGAACACCGACTTATTATATTAATACAAAATGTATTCTGCGACGTATCTATAATATATACCTAGTTCTACGCAATTTCGAAAAAGGAATATCACTCCATCAAATGTCATTATTTA